TGCTGACAGCTTTTAATCCTCATCGTTCTCATGGGTTTTCTTGATAAATACTTCTCAACCTCCACTGACTTGCCATCCAGGCCTGAATCGTAAGGAACAATAAACATAATGGACAGGCTTGATTTAATAGATGCACTATGAGCTTTTTATTAGTGCAGCTTTTTACAAAAAGAAAGGAAAAAAAAAAAAGATGACTGCATTTATTTAGTGGAAGTGCAGAAAGCAGCTCTCTCCAAACTGAGGGAAGCATGCCCGAGTGGGCTCAGCTCAGCTCCTGGTTGTGCAGTGAGGGAAGGATCCATCCTGCTGTGCAGCCCTTGGAGCGCTGGGTGGTCTCAAGGGGGTTTAACGGTGCGTGCAGATGTTCAGGAATTTCTCTTTTGACTCGACCGTGGGGTTTTGCTGCTCTTCAGACCACAAGTGCACTCCAGTCACAGCAGGTTCATGGTTTTGGAGATGCCTTTCATCCCCTCCTGTTCTTGCTGGGTGCTCGGGAGGGGATCTCGCAGCCGTGTGTCTTCCTTGGTTGCGTTTCTCGAGATTTGCAGACTCACATTAGGCGTCTATTAAATTAAGCAAAATGGCCTTTAGAAAGCTACATTTCAAGTGGAAGAAGTGCTTTATGTAACATAGGGGTATGTGAGGGGACCTAAATACAAGCTTAAATTGGCAGTTACGAAAATAGGTATAATTGGATTTTTGCACAGTGATTTTACAGCTTCTGAGTTTAATGTCCTGATGAAATCCTGCATCCAGTCCAGGAGCAGTGCAGCCGAGGAGATGGGGGTTGAATAGCCCCAGTAATGGGACTTGTTCTAGGAACAGCCTTGCCCTCGATTGCAAAACTGGACACACCTGTCATTTACTGAGGCTGTGCTCTGTCTGAAAGGTGTCTGGAGCAGTGGTTCCCTCTTGCCTGTGTTTGCCCTTTGGTCTTTCCCCTCAGGGAGGGGCGTCAGGGCTGGGAAAGGGATGTCTCTTACTATGGTTGTAGCTACTTGCAGGTGAAAAATGCAGCTGTACCCTCCTAACTGGGCACATGCCAAGAGCTGCAGCTTTGTTTTCCAGGCTGATCAATGCAGTTCATTTAAGTTGTTGGGTAATTTAGTAGCTGGAGGCACTTCTGTGGGCTTGGCGTGAGAGCGGCTGCTTCACTTCCCCCCTTGGGAAGGCTGGGAAGGGTTTCCCTCTGAACCCAGGCTTCCCTGGCTGTGACTGGGGCCAGGTGATGCTGTGGGGCTGTCACCCAGCCATTCTGGGATCAGGAGCCTGAGGAAATGGAGGAAATCTCATTTTGACCTTGCATCCTCATATTAATCCTGATAGTCTTTCCTGTTTTAATATTTAAAGCCTTTCCATTCTTCTGTCTGGAGAGACGGTGCGTTGGCTCTCTTGGGAAAAGACTGACCCATCCTCTTTAGGAAAGCTGGTCCCAAAGAAATCAAGGCACCTGCAAATCCCGTTGGCAGGAATTGGAAGAATAATTTTTGTATTTGTTATATCTTTAACCACTTAGGCCTTAGAGCTGGTTTTCTTTCTAGCTTACTTAAGGTCTTGCAAGGATGAAAAAAATCTGTTGCTTTCCTAAGTGTCTTAGCCTGGCACTGAGAGACAGGGCGGAAGAAGCTGAGATAGGATTTGCTGCTTCTTTGAAACTGTCCCTTTTTAATTGTCCAAACAGCATTTCAAAGAAAATCTCTGCTCTTCTCTATCTTCTTCCAGCATTATAATTCTATATAATCACTTTTCTTTCTCTGAAAGAATAGAGCGTGATTTATTTTTTCTTGCAGAAGGAAGAAGGGATAAATTCCAGATGTTGCTGGGATACACTTTTTGCCTCTGTTTAATGTTTAGTGGCTTTCAGTAAACAGGCTGCAAGAGGTGGGGCTGATGTTTTTATTCCAGGACAAATCATCTACAACAAATCCCATCTGCCGATGGGATAGGGGGGAGCATATCTTGGGTGTGACCTGGTGGGTTTGGAGATGATCCCGGCTTTCCTGCCGTGCAGAAAGGCAAGGAAGGCTGAGGCTGGTCCAAGTGTTCCTTTGGGGTCTTTGCTCTTGGTCTTTCAGGGTATTCACCCTCCCCTTCCCACCTCGGTGCCAAGCTCCAGCTCCATGAGTGAGAGACGCTGCGCAGGGTTGGATCCCCTGCCCATGCCCTGGTGTGGGAATGGGCACTTCTGGTGTGAACTGGCACTGGGATTTTTGGGGAGCAGCTCTGCTCTGAAGGGTGGGGAGGGCTGCCATGTCCTGCATGCCATCATCCCACGTGGGATGCTCAGTTTAGTGGGACTCTCCTGGCCAGCCAGGCTGTTCTGGTGCCCAGAAAAGAGCGTCCGTGTGCCCTGCACCAGCATGGGGCTGGATCCAGGAGCTGGGCTCTGTGGATGGGCAGCCCTTTTCCCTCCTCCCACAGCTAAGACCTGTCTTTTCAGTGCATGCCATGCTTTGCAGCCTTCTTGCAGGCTAAACCAGCAACGATTTTCCAGCATGTGTTGCACAGAGGCGTTGTGGGACCAACACGGCAGCTCCGTTCCCTGTTTCATGTTTTCACCTGTTTAGGCGAAGCACATCTCTGTTTTGTTGGCAGCCTGTTGGGTTGCACAAACAGTGTAAGACAAAACCACGAGCAGGTGTTGGTCCAGCCAGTGTAATTACTGGTTCCTTGCTGCTGCTGCTGGTAGGCAGACAGTGTGAGCCACCCTTCACATGGAGCCGTCTGGCAGGACTGCGGCTGCAGAAGGGCTCCGGGCACCGATCCACCGGGAATATGCGCCGACGGCTCAGCCACTCCCTGTATCTCTTCCCTGCTGCCGATTGCATAAAAAAAGTTATGCATATATGGAGGGAGGGAGGAGAGCTGAAGGTGGCTCTGGTCAGGTTTAAAGCACTGACTTTATGTGCCAGTTCTCATTTGCATTTAAAAAGTTGGCAAATGCGTGGCTGAACTTAAAGGGCAGATGTGAGGATGGGAGAGGCAGGAGTGCTCAGAGAGAGGGGTGAAGCAGCATCCCAAAATCCTGCCTGGCTTCAGAGGGTTCAGCTTGTTTCTCCCACACATCCCAGACCATCACCAAACATTTTGGATGAAGCATGATGAGACTGGGTGATGTGCCTTTGTGTGCACAGGGTGTCACACCTGGGGTGTGCACAGTGCTGCGTGCTGAGCACCAGTGGGGCATTGCCTGGGCTGTGGAGTGGGCAGAGATGTTGCTTTCTACCCTTTTGGAAATTTAACTAGAGAAAAGCTGATCCTGATCCAACCAGCTGCAGACATGGGGGCTCTTTTTTTCAACGTCTAAATTTGACTCCCACCCTTTTGGGCCTCCCAAGCCTTTTTTGGCATCCACTTGTTCTCAGCCTTTACTTTTTCCTTTTGGGACTCCCACCCCTTTTTGGCCTCCAGTCTTCTTATGGCCTTTCACTCCTTTCCAGCCTCCCACCCCTTTTCAGGCTCTGTGCAGCAAGCTGGCTGAGGAGGAGGAGGAGGAGGTCCGAGCTTGTTGCCACACGTCGGTGTTTGGCTCGGCAGAATTCCTTTCTTCCCTTTCCCGTCAGGGTCGGTGTCGGTGCCTGTTCCAGCAGGGTGGTGGTGGTGCACAAGGGCCTGGAGGCTCTCAGAGCCCATGTGCATTCAGGTGACACCACACTCTTGCACAGTCACTTTTGAACACCTGCATGTGAAGCACTGATTTGCAATGTCTGAACTCATCCCTTTGAATCAGCCTGACTTCACCTCAGTGAGCCGACTCCGAGCCCACGACCCCTTGTTATTTAGCTGTAATTTGCAGCAACTCTCTGACCCTTAATCTTTTCCTGGAGTGCGAAAGTTGCTTATCTCTGTCCTCTCAGGTGCATGGAAGGTAGCTTTTTAAAGCTTTATTTGGGAGCAATGATGTGTTGATATAACCCCTTGGACCTCCCAGCCTGCTCTGCTGCCACTGTGGGAGCGTGCGGTGTGTCTGCAGCCCCGGCGTGGTGTGTCTGGCAGTGACACACTTGCTGTCTGTTGGGTTAAAGGCCACTTTTATAGGCCAGTAGGACTCCTTCAGATCAGACTGTACTAATTAGTACCAATTAACCATTATCAGTGACAGACAGTTCTTACAGGCTTCATAAAAAAGTCCTGTTTCTTCAGTGAAGCCCCTGGGGGATGCAGAGCACTCACCCTGCCCACAGTGTCACAGCTTGTCAGGCACTGGGGTTGTGCTGGGGGGGTCAGGAGGGTCCATATCCCACAACCCCTTCAGTTTTGCACAATGCTCACTGATGGGCGAGAGAGAAGTCGTGAGCTGTCTTTTAATGCAAACTTTTGGCTGCTTTGTTCTCCTCACTTGAAAATACATCTGCTGGGCATTGCGTCTGGGGTGTTGTGCAAGATTTTGCTGTGGGTCTTCCTCTTCAGCACCCCACAGCCCCCACTGGGGGATGGGGCATCAGGAGACCCCGAGCTTTCACCCAGGCTCAGCAGCACATGGGGCTCAGCTACCAGTGTTTGCAGAGGAGACAGAACATGACGAATAGCCCACCAGTGCTTTGAAGTGCAGAGTGCTGCCCCGAGGCCATGGGCAGGCAGTCTGGCACTTTTGAATGTGGCAGAGAAGTCTCTGGGGTGGGCTGAGTGATCACAGAAACTTCACAAACCTCTGTAAGACTTCAGCATGCCACCAGGTGAGATGGCCATGGGTGGAGGAGAATGGTCCTGGGGAGGTCCATGTGGGCGAGAGAGAAACAGGACCTTGTACAGCGATGTCTGGTGTGGGAAAAGCATGTGGGGTCTAACCAGGAGTGGTGGCACCTGGCTCAGGGTGGCTTTGTTCCTCCTGGAGGTGGTAGGTTTGGGTGCAGGTGTCAGCCACGGCTGGTACGGGGGAGCTCTGCCAGGACGAGTCCCCAGGAGGGAGCTGGGGTGTGTTGCAGCCGGTCGGAGGTGGCTCCCATCACTGACGGATGCTTTCTGTTTTTCTCTCAAATGTCTCCAGGCACTGAATGTTTAGGTCGCACCTTTCCAGGTAAACTGGGTAAGTGAAGTATTTCAAGAGTTGCCAAGATCTAATTACGAAGGCTGATTGCATGATTGCAGCTGCTGTACCATAAACACCCCGGTTACTCACTCCACGGAACGGGTGGGACGTTGCCTGGCCCCGAGAGCAGCAGGTACCTGCTGTTTGGGTGCAGAGGGGGATGCAGTGTTGTCTTCAGTGGCTGACTGTGCAAACCTGCTGTTTTTTGGCTATCTATACCTGGCTGCACTTTGGTAATCCTGGATGGGATTTTTTTCCTTTTGCTGTTCAATGTAGAACCATCTTCAAAAGCTGAATGTCTTTTTAAGCGCCAGTACTCTTCCATTTGCTGATACTCTGGCCAACTAATGAGCAGCACTACATCGAGGACAGAAACTTTCATAGTATTTTGTGAAAGTAGTGTGACAGTCTGAACCCTTTAACATCATGGGATGTGAGACTTCCCTTGAGTGTGGCTGGAGCTGCCTGTGTTCAGCAGACAAAATGAGGTGTTGGGAGCCCTCTTGAACCAGGCTGCTGGATTTGAGCTGAACCTGTTTGAAAAATAGCTTTTGCTGTTTTAAAAAGACATTGTTATAACGTCTGTGTATCTGTCTCTCAGTTTAGAATCGAGTTTATGACAGTACCCCAAAAGTGAAGTGTCTTTGCTCAAATGTGGAGTCCCAAGCCCGCTGGGAAAGGACCAGCAAACTAAAGTGTTAACAAGTGGTGAATAAATGATTTTAATAAATGGCTAATCAATTGCTGTAGAGCCTGGGAAGTCAATAGAGCTTATGACCTTGGCTTATAACCACGCTCAGATCTTTAACGGGCTTATAATGCCTACAGATCATTCATTAGGCTTTTATCAAGCATCAATTGGTAAAAGTCATAATCTAAAATAAGACAAAAAAAGAATTATTTCAGTTGCATTATTTCGAGCCTGATGGCAGAATTTAGTTCCACAGCAGAATAGTCCTTATTTATGCAAAAAAGCTGTGAGACACCACTGGTCCCCCAGCAGCATTATCTTGGTGCAGACGTCAGGCAGGGGAACTGCAGGAGCCAGAGGCTGGGATCAGCCCCAGTGCTGGGACACTCACAGCAGTCCGTAGGGAAACTGTCCTGCAGCAGGCAATGGTTTATTTGTATTTATTTTATATTAATGCCTTAAGATTTCAGCAGGTAAGCCAGGCAGAGGGAGCCCCGGTGTCGCTGACGGTGCTCTGAGCAGCTGCTCGGGGCGTTTTTCACTCCAGCAAAAGGTGTTTGCTGTCGCTCGACTGTTGTAAAACTCGCACCCGTTCTCTTGTCCTGTGATTTGGGAAGGCATGTGAGCGGGGTTGTGTTCTGGCTGTGCTGCTCTTCCTGCTTTCCCTGGTCTTCCCTGTCCCATTTTGTGTGTGTGTGTGTGTGTTTGTGCCTCGGGGAGGGAGTCAGAGATGCAAGTGAAAACATGCGGTTTTCTTAGAATATAAATAACAGAAAATTAAGCATAATTTTTGTTTGTTGTAGAGTCGTTCCCTGCAGTCTCCAGTTGTTTGCTCCTTTGCCGCGCTCATGTACTCTTTGGGTTTTTTCATCTTACCAGATGGATGCTATTTGGAGTGTGCTGTAGGACACTTTAGGGATCTTGCTGCGGGGTTAATTGTGCGCCCAGCGAAGAGCTGTGCTTGCAGACATCAGTGCATGCCCGGGCTTCTGAAAGACCCGGCTGCCAGACGGGGCTGCCTCTATCAGACGGCTTTTTGCCTCGCCTTTGTTGTCTGGGTCCTTGTCTGCAGCTCCAGCCTGGGCCAGCGTTCCCAGACATCGCCACCTCCACCATCCCCTTCCTCCCGGAGCGCCTGGTGCTGCCTGCGGAGCCGGGACCCCCGGGCAGAGATGCCCGTGCCCATCCCTGGGATAAAGCCCTGCACATGGCAGGGCAAAACAGCAACCCTGGGCAGGGAGCACCACCTCAGACCGACTCAAAAGGGAGGTTTAGCTTTCTTTGGGCTTTTTTCTTGTGTGTTTTAAATATTCCACCATCTCCCCAGTAACTCCGGGGTGTCTCTGATGTGGATGTCAGACTTTTGGATTTCTGTAAATGACTTGTGCATCCTTCTCTTTCCTGCTGAGAGGGATCAGTGTGGCTGAGCATGGTGAGGCACTGCCATTCTCCCCCTGCACACGGAGCAAGAAGGGGTGCTGCAGTTTCTGCTGGGTTTTGTGTCTGCTGTCGTGCTTCTCACAAAGAGTGGCTGGGAATGGATGTGGAGAGGGAAGAGGGAATACTCTCAGCAAGGGCCGAAATGGCTATTCATCTGATTTAGGAGGAGATGCCGTCCTTGAACTCTGTAAAATCAAAGGGCAGGGTGGAGGGTTTGCACAAAACAAAATTCACATAGCTAAACATGTAACTACATGAAAGTACGTGATTTCTTAGAGGTTTGGGTGAATTCTGTCTGAGAGAAGCTGGGTCATGCTCTGCATTCACTGCAGTGCTCCCCTGTGAAAATGCCAGTACGCACCGTTCTTTACTTTATTGTTGTGGGTTTAGGCATTTTGTTATATTAGTCTTAAATGGGTTTGTTTCCATAGCTGCATACTGCTGATAAAATCCCAGTGTAGGATCTCTCAGTCTCCCTGTGCATGTGTACCAAAATAAATCACAGGCAGTTGTCAGAAGAAGAGCTGCTGCCATGGCAGGTGCCAAGCTGTGAGGAAGTTGGGGCTGGACCCTGCTGAGACTGCAGGTGTGTGACATCCCATCCTGGTGCCACCACGCAGTGTCCTGCCACAGCTCCCAGCTCTGTGGGCAGCATTGGTGCCTTGGTGGTCCCAGGGACCTGGAGCAACTGAGGAAGGAGCTGCTGCAGGAGAGGTGATGTTTTGGTAGTGGAGTAGGAAGCGATGGAGGCGGGGGCATAGAAACTCCCTGGCCCTCACCTTTTTTCAGGTAGAAAGGTGTGGTTGTGGTAGGGTGTGAAGTTGAGGATTGGCATCAGGTGGCTGCCAGGATAACAAAACTCCTCTCCTGCTCTGAATTCACTGTATTCACCATCAGCTGTTAATATTTCACCTCTCATCAGAAGGGGGTGGGTTTTTCATGGCTATTAAAACTATCTCAGGGGCTGAGGCTGGTTTTGCTCAGCTTCACGCTGTAACTCCAAAGGTCTAGCCTGGGCCAGTGAGCACTGCTGATGCCCAGGGTGGTACCACACCAGTGCCATCAGGGGTCACAGTGTGTCCTGTACAGACAGGACGGAGCACATCTTCTGGCAGGAAACCCAGTTTCTGAGAGGTACTTATCTTTCCTTCAGGAAGAGTGAAACCAATGGTTTTTGTTTTCCCCAGAGTTCTGACCTGCAGGTTGGCAGGTTTTGGTGCAGGTCCAGCCCCACTGTGTGCTGGGTGTGCTCAGGGCAAGGTGATGCTCCTGGTCCCTGCAGTGGCATGGTCAGGGCATGGCCAAGGGCATGGCCAGGGCGTGGGAGCACCTGAGTCCTTGCTCTGAGGGCACGTGGGGGGCAGCTGGCCCGGAGTGCTTCCCCTCACTGCTCTGCCAGGGGTGTCCTTAACCCCCCCCCATGCTCTCTCTCTCCTTTAATGCATCTTTTTAAGTACTGGGTAATAGTGTTTTCTTTCTGGCAGAGATGAACAGAGGGCTTTTAATAGGTCTTTTGTTTTCTCTCCGTGCAGTTCCCTGGCAGTGACCTGCCATTCGCTCCAGCATTTATTTAGGGTATTTGTATTTTTATATGTGAGGACCTCAACACTGAGAAGCCAGGGGATTTGTCCAGGGTCACACAAGAAATATGTGGCAGAGCTGGGGCTCGGCTTCAGCTTTTCTGAATGTTGAGCTGATCTCTGGGCTTGGCAGAGTGGGAATGTCGTGGTTTGTCCCGTTTTAACTGAGCCAGACAAGGAGGGAAGAAAATAAAGGCTCTGTGGAAGGAAGCATATTTTTTTTGCTCTCCCCTGTTGGCAGTCTGCATGGAGCTAGAATTGCACGATCAGTGTGTTCAGGAGCGTGAGGACTGCATGTGTGAAATACACGGAGGCAAAGGGAAACCCGGGGCTCCTTCATTTCCACTGATTCCAGCTGCGCTGGGGACTGGGAGCTGCCCTGCAAACTCAGCCCTGCTCTGGGGAGGAGGGGTGGGCTGTGCGTGCCCCCCTCCCCGAGCAGGCGGTGGGTTTTTGGGGCGATGCTGTCGGTGGCTGCAGCTGGGATCGCCTCGTGCTCCTGCCCCGCAGCGCTGTGTGCCTGCCTTGTCTGAGGCAGCCCCAGCACAATGCTCGCCTTCACTCCCCGTCAGACGGGAGGTCTAGACGGTCTCCCTGCCTTTTGTTATCAGGGTCACAGGTTAGGGAGCGTTCCCAGCTCCTTTTCCCTCCGCTGGCCAGGAATCCTTCCCAGAACCGAGTGCCTGCAGAGGGGACCCCTCCGAAGGGAGTCACCCCACTACCCAAATGCACTTAGACTGAAAATTATTGTGGCAGCTCCCAAAAAGAAATGTGCTTTTGAAATGCAGTCGGGATCACCCCCACTCCAGTTCTTGCCGGCACAGATGCTCAGCTGACACCAGCTAAATAGAAACCTTTTAGCCCTTGCCAGTAAGTCTGGAGCAAACTGCCAAAAAGCATCGAGGACCGAGATACAAAACGAAGTCAGGCCTGAGCAAAGTACTTGCAAAGGAAAGATGGAACTGATGTGCTCTGTCTCTTGATTTTTAGCACATGAGATGCTTCAGTCTCAGGGTTTTGTTAAAATACAATGGTGGCATTTTAAAGGTTTTCAGCAGATACAAAGCAAGTAAGTCCCCTAGCAACAAAGGGAAGTTTTTTTTTGCTTAATGCAGACTTTTTTTAACATGTAGCATTTGGGATTTTTTTTTCTCCCTCCTTAAATCAAGGATAGGTTTGGCTGAAGGAGAAGTTTTTAGTGGCTTTTAGACATATTTAGAGATGAGACTTGAACGCTTCATGTGCATCTGCTTGTTACCCTTGCCCCTGCCCCGGCCCACCCTGGC